GGGGGTTCCTCGCGGAGCGGGGGCTGCGCGCGTTGGACCTCCGCCTCGTCGGGGGCGCCGCCGCGGTGGAGCGGCTCGTCGTCGCGTTGGAGCGCCTCGAGCGGCTCTACGCCGTCCACCGCGGCGGCGCCCTGCGCGGGGGGGTCGGCGTGCTCGTGAGCCTGACGGCCGCGGGGAATGGGGTGGCGCCGGATGGGTGTGTGATCCTCGCCCTCGCGCAGCTCCCCGCGTGGGAGGAGTTTCTCCTCGGCTTACCCCAACCCACCTGGCGGGCGTGCGTGCGGATGCATCAGGAATGGCGCGTCCCCGAGGCCCCACGTTGGAGGGAGCGGCGACGTCAACTCGCGCGAATCGCGGATAGCTTTCGCGTCTGCACGGTGACGATCGAGGCCCCGCTCGGCGGCGCGATGGGGTGGCAGGAGGAGCTGATTCAACGACTGCTCCGCGAGGAGGCCGCGATTCGCCGCGCGGTGGAGCGGTATCAAATCCGATCCGAACTCTTAAAAAACCGCGGCGAGATCCGCTTCGTCGAGCACCTCTACCACACCCCACAGAGCATGTTGGATACGACGCCCAAGGAGATCGGGTTTCGCATCACCGGGGATGGAAATTTGGTGTTGAATCAGAGTCTGATGAACACCGGACAGATGCTTCGCGTCTTGCGGGATAACCTCAAACGAATGGAAACCTTTCGACGGATGCACGACGATGCGTTGAAGGAGTTGGAGTACCTCAGCCGCCGCATGCCACTCGATTTTAGCGTGGATACGGAGTGGAAGCTCCGCGAGATCCACCTGGCGAGCGCCCTCGAGCGTTTTGCGCGGACGATTAAAGAAAACGAGGCGGAGGTGGCGGCGTTTTTGAGTTCCCTTCTTCAAACGAACCCGTCGCCGTCGACGTCGAGTGGCATGGGGAGCCCGTCGATTCCGTCCAAGGACTTCGCGATGAAGAAACGCATGGTGTGGGTGATCTCCGACCGCTTCAATACGCTACCGAGCGGGGTGATTTTCATCCCGTATAATGTGAGCTTTGATTCAATCAAGAACATGCTCCTCGCGAGGAAGTAAAGAAGCCCTATAAGGGGGAAAAATCTCACAGTTGGAGGGGGTGATGGATGGCTGAAGAAGCGAATTGGGGAGGTGAAGGAGTTGGGTTATTCCCCTGCCCAAGAATTTAGGCATCGCGGCGTGTGTTTATTCATGGGTGAAGGCAATGGAAGAGGTGGATAACTGAATGCTAAATGGTTTCTAGCCCTTTTTATATTTACAGCTTCATGATACTTCATTTGGGTTCACTATTTCATCTTTGGTTGTTAATTGTGGGCGATTGGTATTCTTTATTTTTTCTTATTTTCTTTCCTCAAGATTCAGGGACGGTGTGTGTGTGTGTGTGTGTTCCCGCGTCTTTGTGTGCAAAGCCCACCAAACATGTTCGCGCGGACGTTTCGTTTCCTTAGCCTCACCCCGGCGGTCGCCTTGAAGGTGTTGGATCTTTCCCCCTCCCACGACCTCACCGTCGCGGCGATTAAAAAGGCGTACATCAAAAAAACCCTCCGTTGCCATCCCGACCTCCACCCGGGCGATCCGAAGGCGAACGAGACGTTTCGCGAAGTATCCGACGCCTTCCACGTCGCCCTCCACGCCTTGGAGGCGCGTCGAATCACCTGGGAGGACGGGGGGGTTAATAACAACCCCCCCGGGGCGTTTTTCGACCCCCACGCGGCCTTGGAATCGCTCCGACGCGCGATGATCGCCTATCGTTTCCATCAAGACGCCGCGAAGCCTTCCGAAACGGGGGATCCCCCGATCGATCCCGCCTTTTTCTCCCCCTCGTTGGAGCACATCACGTCGGTTTGTCGGCAAGAGGCGCGCGCGATGCGGCGGGTCTCCACGGTGTGCGCGGAACTCCCCGCGTTGTTGAGTGGGAGTCGCGCCGCCGCGTTGTTCGAGGCCGTCGCGTTTTTTCCCCGTCGTTATGTGGAAAAATGGCGGAATGCGTGGGG